GTTGCTCTTGTAATTAGTTAGCTTGTGTAGCTCACTAGTTATCTTCTTGCTTGTGTAGCATAGAAGTAGCTCACTTGCCTAGCTAATTTGGTTTGTGTAATCTTGTTAGACACATTGCTTAGTTTGTGTAGCTAAGTATTTGCGCTCTCTAATTTGGTATTGGTTGCCTTGTTATTGAGCATTGCTAGTGAGCTTAGGAGCTTTGTGCTTTTGCTTGCTAGAATTGTGTAGGAGCTTTCCGGTGTGCAAAATACTAGTGGCATAGGTTTGTGTGACCTTGCTCCTAAAATTGGATAGGTGAGCTCTAGCTAGCCCGGCACCTTTGTTGCCTAATTAGGATCTTTATAAGGTGCCTGTGAACTTCTATAGAAGGGTGTAGTTTTGGGTATACCGATTGTTTTAATTCTGCATTTGTTTCGGTTAGCCGACGTGATTAAATTTAGAAAGAACTATTCAGCCCCCTCTAATCCGCCATCTCAACCTTTCAACATGGAGAGAGATTGATTTTGATATTCTCTTTTCACAAAAAAATATAGATTGAAGAACAACATTAAGCAACTATAATTTTATTTAGCCAATAATTGTAGATAATAATAGCAGTGTTTAGTATCAATGGAAGTTACATGTTAATTATAAAACGGCGTCCAGTCAAATTGACAATAAAGATATGGTTTTGAAGGAAAAGGGGGGAATTTAAAGTGTAATTTAGTAAGGCCATTAAGAGTAGGCTACTAGCTATAGCTGCCTATGATATGGACCGAGGGGTGGAGGTGGAGCAAATGGAGCATCATCTGGTCGTCGTTGGTCCAGAGACAAAACGGGGGTACCAGGGCTCCACTACGGCAAGTCATTATGCCGTCCTTGACCCGCCAATGCAAGATCTTCTTCCCTTGTTCAACGATGGAGCAATAAAAAGGATCCACTTATTATTGGTGTATTTGCACAGTAACGTAAGAATAATATGTCAGGCAAAGGCTGAGTCTTCGATCAATTTCTGGAAGAATTCAAATATGTGACTGGCACCTCCTAATTTACGTTTCTGAATTCAAAAAGTATCCACTGATACAGCACGATGCCCATGATAGCGAGCAGAGCACACTGGCACTAGCAGATCGGTGGAGCAATTTAACTAACATCATCTGGTCCTTAATTATCATTCATGACAAGATCGATGGCAGAAGAATTAAAGGAGTGCCCGGCATTGTTATCACACCCTAGCTCATACAAGCTATAATAGGCAGTAGTAGGCAACATGTTGACTAGTGACTAGTCACTGCCGTCCGTGACCGGCGGAGGTCTTTCCTTGTGGTGTATACTCTCTATCATGGAGCACTTAAGAAGAGTCTACTATACTTTATTTGCCTTGTTCGCTCGAACAGTCATGGTACAATATTTTTTCTGTCACAACAAAACATCATCAACCGGCTTATCAGACACAAAAACTATCAGCCGATTTATGCACATATTACACGGTAACACATACTCCATATGGACACTACGTGAGACAATGGCCAAATCTTTCTTCAAGAATTCAAGCATATTTGATTGTATACCTTTTATTTAGTGGTTCTAAATTTAGATGTCATATGTCTTGCAGACCCCATTTTCAGATGTGACTGATTCCTAGCCGTATCTAGAAATGCATTCAGAGGCGGAGCTTGTTTAGCGGGTCCGATGGAGTCCTCTATAGAGACGGTTGTGTATTCCCAGTTGCCTCTGTCCAAAAATGCTATAGTTGCTAAAAAAATCTTTTCGGTAGTAGTGATATCATTCCAACTTATACATCTATATCTATACCTAATATTAAAGAACAAAAATTTCTCTCCCCTATTTTATTTGTCCATCGTACCCTCTACCACTATCGGTGTGTCCCTCCACTCTTCGTAATAAAAGTATCTTAGTCAGTTTTACTAAGGGTCTGTTTGGGACTGCTCCACTCCACCAAAACTTGCATTATTATAGGCAGGCGTTTCTCCCTGGATGCCCCCTCCATTAACAGAGGTGACACCCTTTTGTGCCCATCTCTATTAATCAGGGGTGTGTCTCCCAAAATATTTTTTGTGCTAGTGTTTAACTAACCCCAATCAGTAAGACGACAAACCAAAGTCTTTCATTTATATCCTAAAAAGAATCTTCTATTTGAACCATATTCTTAGAGCATCTCCAACAATTTGGTAAAATGACTCTCCTAATCTTGATATTTTAGTAGAATAAAAAAAACTTATTCTAAAAACTCCCAATTCTAACTCACAATCTACCTGTGGATGGAAAAACAGAGACATCCACATGCAAACAAACGTGGACGACTGCAACTCTTATCATGGGCGGCGTTCTTTTTCTTTGACACTCCACCCCAATCATCGTCACCTTCTTTGTAGGTTCTGGCTTTGAGTTTGGATTCTGGGGATAACTGGTAATGGTCAGCCATGGATGGGGGGCGACCACTGCCACCGCCTATGAGGTTCATCGGAATTGAATCTCTGGACACTATTTTCAAATATGAGAATACTAGGAGGTAGAGCAGGCAATGTAGATTCTGTTTTGGAGATTTTGGGTGTGTTAGGTGCCCGAATGGCTGGCAGCCACCAAAAATCTTCAACTGAGCTTGTTCTCATTTTTTTATATTGATTGAAAATGTTGCAAAACTAGATTTTTGGATTAGTTTTTGATACTTTTGGAGATGCTCTTAGGCCATCACCCACGCACCAGGATTGGGTTACAAACATAACATTTCTTTGACCCTTAGTGTCCAAAACTTCGAACAATTAATTATTTGAACATCTAAATAATTTCAAATAAAAAAGAAACAACTAGTACAAATTGTTCTCTTTGAAAGCTATTACCACTACCACACAAAAAGAGTTTTAAAAAGGGTCAAAATCAAATACCCCATACTTGATTTTTGGTTTTATTCGCACAACTACGTATGTGGGGATTTGTACCGGCCTGTAACCTCTTGCCTTGCAAGGCGTCCCTCCTACAACCACACCTCATAGTCAACTATGACCAAGTATAGGATGGTATCCTTTTGAGGTAACATCTATGATCTTTCTACCAAATATTTTTGTTTCTAAACATTCTCAAATAAAATAAACTAACTACAAAGTTTTAGATCTCATCTAGCACTACAAACTTCGATATAAGGTGTATCTCTATCCGAGGTCATTTGATAAAATCCAAAAAAATTGAATTTCAAAAATTGAGAATTTAACATATATATTTGCATTGGGTTTTCGATTTCAAATAAAAGAAGTGGTCAACTATAAAGTTTTAGATTTCATCAAGCTAAATTTTGTTTCATCTGACTTTATTGTGGCCACTTCTATCAATTTTCAGAAGAAGTTTTATTAAGCCAACCATCCCTAAAAATTGATCTTTAGAGGTGGTTTGTAAGTTGCAATACGTCACAACATTTTATAGACGGTTGACCAATGTAACCGCTCTTGAAAAGAAGAAGAAGAAGAAGAGACATTCGTAGAAATTTGTGTTGTATAGTACAATTTATCTCCATCCGATTGAGTCAACGAGAAGGCTATGAGTTTTGGAATGAGTTGTAATTACAAAGTATGGACGTTAACGTTCATGATTGGAACCAAATTAGATACCCACGCTATATCCATACCGTGGGCTCATGTTAAGAATAGTCGAAAAACATGAACATTCATATGATTCGAACCAATACCGACAACGATGTGTGTGTTTTAAGTTGTTTTATTACTCTCAACTATACTCAATGGTTACACCCCTTGATGCATGTGTAAAGAAATGTTTAAAATAACGGGGAATTTTATTACCATGCGCAAACTTGATGTGCAGTGTTATCTACTACGACTACACCACTAGGCTAGCTAGTCGATGAATACATCCATAAGGTAGGGTCCAATCCTATTCCTACTTATACATCGTTGACACAGGCCGGCTATTGGTAAATGAAAAGTGCACCTCTATTGTGATCCTAGAGCAAGCCAAGTTGTGAGTATGACATATAGATGACATGACATTACAAATTTTATTTAGTATATAACATAGTTGTTTTGTAAATTTAATTGCAAAAAATATAACAATTCAAACAAGGAGAACTACGATTTAAGAGATATAATAGTTATATAGGGTTGGTCTCAAGCAATAAATATAATTAAGGGTCTCTTTGAATCTACTAGTGCTAATATAGTTAGCAGTAGCTAAAATTAGCACTAACAGATAAAAATAAACCTGCTAATAGACCAAATAGCTATTAGCAAGAGGGTTGTTAACTACTTGTTCGACTAGCAAGTGTTCTGCTATACTCCGTATAATAGGTTCCAATTACCTATTAGCAACATATTAGTAGAAGGACTATTCAAACATCTTCTACTAACAATTAGCTAGCTAATTAATATTTACTGGCTATTAGCTATTAGCTACTATCTCCGTTCCAAATTAAAAGTCATAAAAAACCAAAACGACTTATAATTTGAAACGGATCGAAGTAGCTACGGCGACATCACCTAATCTTGCATTGTATGTAATTTGGGTGGCCAAAGGAGTTCGGGAGCAGCAAATTCTCTAGCTGTCTAGCAAAGGCACTCTTGTGCAACTTTAGCAGTTGCCTAACTGTAGCACCAGTCGTAATCTTTTTCGAGAATTAATTAAAGAAGATGACGCAAGACGTCCGGCATATATACAGCAGAGACGATAGTACAGTCATTGCAAACGGCCGGGTGGACCGGATATTGCACTGCATTGGTGGCGCACTACATATTCAGCCGTCTTTGGATGGACGGAGTCCCGTCGGCAGAAAGCAGCAGCTTGCATTGTTCTAACGACGACGACTGCATGCGCCGCCAGCCATTATAAAGAGCCGATCGAGCTGGATGCTGTGTGCCTGCCCATACCATACACCCGTCTTCTCCCCTAGTCCTGGCCGTCGTCTAAGCACCACACGCGCACGCCCACCGAGAGCGCGTCGGCGTCGTCGCCGGCGCACGCGCGGGGGGCATCCATCGCGACGCCATACAAGCATGGCCACTGCTGGCGGTGCTGCAGTAAGGTCGCTGCTGCTGGGGGCCATCGTCTTCCTGCTCATCGCCGCCGTCGCACAGTCGTCGTCGGCGGCCCGTGGTGGTGTTACGTTACGCGTTGACCGTCGCCACCAGGTGCGCTGTCCTCCTCCTACTCCTTCCTAGCTAGCAGGCTATACTATACTGTTACTGTAGGAGGGCTAGTAGCAAATAATAACATTCACTCCGATCCACATATACAGAGAGTTTTCTTTCTTATTACCACTAATCATTTTTTACAAAATAGTTTAAGAAGCTAGCTGCCATAAATTTTCTTTCCTTTTGAATAATAATTAATCTCGTCATAAGTTACTGTGCTATATATATCCTCCTATTACTGGCAATCATCACTGAGCTAGCCTGTTCATTTCGTGCTTTGCCACCCATTTCTGCATGCAGGTGGTCGTCGTGGACAACGGCGTGGTGCAGGTGACGCTGTCGAAACCGCAGGGCCACATCACCGGCGTCCGCTACAACGGCCAGCGCAACAACCTCCTGCACTACACCGGCGGCCAGCAAAACTCGGGAGGGTAATTAGTAGATAGATATATAATAGATGTCTGTAGAAAATTCTACGAGTATTTATTTTATAATTATAATGATCATTCAGAATTTCAGATGTAATAATAATGATACAAAATTAAGTTATGTTGCATGCATGCATGCAGGTACTGGGATGTGGTCTGGAACTACCCTGCTTCCGGTCATCCAAGAGGAATGATCGACATGTGAGTGCTGGATAATCTTTTTTTTTAGTATTTATCTAGCTCACCTCCTTGGTGTGTGTGCTGATCACTGCCATGTCTGCAACTCTAACTGCTTCAAATTCAAAAGAGTGTTGCTACCTGTTGCTTACTCTGTTAGTTATTCACGTAAAAAAACATTCTTGGAAGTTGGAAACAAGCACGGTCAGTAGTCGTGACGTGAGAGATTGGTTGCATTTTCAGACAGCAAAATTGTCTAAGTACTGCATGAATGTGCACCGAAAAAGATGGAGGTATGCATGCCTGCAAAGAGCAACAGGACTGAGCGACTGACCAAAGCTAGCCCTCAATCTCCTCATCCACATTCAGCAAACTGCTCCGGCCTCCAGCTCTGTCTGAACGTATACTGATTGATTGATTCATGATCGATACTCTAGTTGAGCTGAAGAATGTATTTGCACATGTTCACAAGTTGTTTCCTTTGGAACTTTTGTGTGTATTATTAAGTAAGGGCTTGTTCGGTGTTGTTTAGGATTCATGCCCTGGAACTATTCCTGGCTGAAATGATTGTGTAATTTGTATAACAATTTTTGAGATGGATTGGTTCCTGCCCCATTCCTGAATAACCGAACGGCCCCTAAGTAAGCTGCATCTGCATAGGTTGGACAGTACCGAGTTCAACGTTGTGACCTCAAGGGAAGACCAAGTGGAGCTTTCTTTCAGGAGCACGTATGATCCATCACGCCAAGATAGTGTCCGGCTAAACGTTGACAAGAGGTACCTAGTGTAGCTTTCTTCTTTGCATTCACAATTTCAGCTTATTCTTCATTGTTCAACAAACACAACGCTTTCAGTTATATGCCTCCTCTGAAATAAACTACACACAAGTTACCTGTCACATTTCCGAAAATAGAGTAACTGTAAACTGTTGTCGTCGTTGGTTCCATGCATTCCAGGTTTGTAATGCTGAAAGGCAGCTCTGGGTTCTACTGCTACGCCATCTTCGAGCACAACAGCAGCTGGCCTGCTCTCAACATTTCAGAGGCACGGCTGGCTTTCAAGCTCAACGCAGACATGTCAGTAGTATAGACTAGAGAGTACCCATCGACCCATGCATTTATATCGCTCTGCACTTCACATCACAAACTTGTGTGCATGATATATATGTAGGTTCAACTACATGGCGATCTCAGACGACATACAGAGGTACATGCCGAGCGAAGCAGACAGGGACGCGCCACGTGGCGCTCCGCTGGCCTACAAGGAGGCCGTCCTGCTGGTGGACCCCGTGGAGCCGCAGTTCAAGGGGGAGGTAGACGACAAGTACCAGTATTCGCTGGACAACAAGGACAACGCCGTCCATGGCTGGATCAGCAGCAGCAACCACCCCAGCATCCCGGCCATGGGGTTCTGGGTGATCACCCCCAGCAACGAGTTCAAGAGCGGCGGGCCCATGAAGCGGGAGCTCACCTCCCACGTCGGCCCCACCTCCCTCGCCATGTTTCTTGGCACGCACTACGTCGGCGACGACATTGTGCTCAGCCTCGGCGACGGCGAGCACTGGAAGAAGGTGCTGGGCCCGGTGTTCATCTACCTCAACTCCAGCCCCAGCAGGCGGGCCGGCGGCGGCGGCGACGTCGTCCGCGGCCTCTGGCACGACGCCAAGGCGCGGGCGCGAGCGGAGGCCGGCAGGTGGCCGTACAGCTTCCCCGAGTCGCCGGACTTCGCCAAGGCGGGCGACAGGGGCTCCGTCACCGGCACGCTCGTGGTCCGAGACAGGTACGCGAGCAAGGGTGACGTGCCGGCCGCGGCGGCCTACATCGGGCTCGCCGCGCCCGGCGGGCAGCCCGGGTCCTGGGCGACGGAGTGCAAGGGCTACCAATTCTGGACGAGGACGGCGTCGTCCTCCGGCGCGTTCAGCATCGGTGGCGTCCGGGCGGGGGTGTACAGCCTCTACGCGTGGGTGCCTGGTGTCCTCGGAGACTACGTGCACACGTCCACGGTGACCGTGACGGCAGGTGGGGCCGTCCACCTCGGCGACCTCGTGTTCGTGCCGCCGAGGTCCGGCCCGACGCTGTGGGAGATCGGCGTCCCGGACCGCACCGCCGCGGAGTTCTTCGTCCCCGACGCCGGTCCCAGGTACGCCAACAACAGGCTCTTCCTGGGCAGAGACAGGTACAGGCAGTACGGCCTGTGGGAGAGGTACGCCGAGCTGTACCCTAGGAGTGATCCTGTCTTCACGGTTGGGCAGAGCCATCACTCCAAGGACTGGTTCTTTGCACATGTCACAAGGTGTATATATCCTGAATTTTTTTTTGAGCAATAATGTATTTATACTGAATTACTGGCACGTACTGAAGTCTGAAGAAGAACTCTGCCAGTGCTTTCGTTTATAGATTGGTTTGGCATGCTGCAGAAAGGTTGGCAATCGCTACGTGCCCACGACGCGGCAGATACGGTTCGACCTGGGCCGTGTCGTCGCCGACGGCAACTACACGCTGCGCATCGCCGTCGCAGCAGCCCAGTTGTCCAAGCTACAGGTAGCTAGCTAGTAGTACCTGCTTTAACTGTTGAAACTAACAAGGTGCGTGCGTTAGAATGACAATCCTGAATTAACTGTTGAAACTAACAAGGTGCAAGTGAACGGCGGCGGCGGCGTGTTCACGACGCCGGAGTTCGGCGGCGGCAACGCAATCGCGCGGCACGGCATCCACGGCGTGCAGCGGAGCTTCGAGGTCCGGGTGAGGGGCGACCAGCTGAGGCAAGGGGAGAACAGCATCGGAATCACGCAGACGAGGGCGTTCGGGCCCTTCTTGGGGGTCATGTACGACTACATCCGCCTCGAAGCGCCTGCCTAGCTAGCTAGGAACGAGTCATCATTCAAGACTGTATTGTTATTATTTGTTATATTATACCAGTGCGCAGTGCAGTCATGGCTACGGTGGTCGGTGGATAGACATGCAGGCTGAAGCAAGAGGGAAAATGTAGCCAAATAAAGTACCTCTATTATGTGCTAATAGCTACAAATTGCATAGGGCTAGCTTGGCAGTTTTGGGACATATTTTCATGATACATAATTAGTTCTGAATTTCCTCACAAAAAAAAGAATTAGTTCAGAATTATTCGAACACATGTATATGTTCAGACATGTATATGTTCAGAATTACTGAAGCAGGCTCAGGAATCTGTCAGGCGCCCAGAGCCTAACAGGAGTAGAGGCGTTGCACCGTCTGCTCGTTCCACAGCCATGAGGCACTGTCGGTCACTCTCTTAGCAGGGTCCAATGGGCGTGACGCATTAGGACAAGGGACTCCTCAAGCCCTAGGGGCAGAGGGCTCCGAGCCTACTCGTCAGCCCCTTTGGGCGGGGGAGGCTCCTTGCGCACCAAGAAAACCTTGAGAAGGCTCACACAGGGAGGCCGCACAATAGCAGACAACACCTGACAGTCAAGCATCAGACTGGGCAGGAGTGCCCGGGAGTGGTTGCGATATTGTCGGCCCTCCTACACGACAAAGGAGTATTAGACGGCGCCAAGACAAATGAACTGCAAGCACCAGTCAGAGAAGCCCTAGGTTAGAACCAACTCGATTTGTATTAGACCTAACTTGATTTGTATGTCCCATGCCCTCCTCGGTATACAAGGGGAGGCATGAGCTCCCATAGAAGGGATCGAAAACATAGACACTTAGGACGGCTGATCTAGAAAATGATTAGCCCGAGGTAGAAACCAAGAACCCTAGGATGATAGCATCACGTAATTTCCTTGCCAAACTCTCTCTCAATTCCTCTGTTGTAAACCCGCAATTGGGCATTCCTAATAGGAAAAAACATCATACTGCTGGATGTAGGGCTCATCAAGGTCCTAAACCATGATAAACCGATTGTGTCCCTTGCGTGTTTTGAGTGTTCGAGCCACTAGAGACCCACACATCGACCTTCGACGAACAAACCCGATGCTTGCCGCAGTTCCGAACCCGCGACACACCAAATCCTACTTGTAAGCCTCCAAAAAAATGAGATTTTGCACCATATTTTTATATGGCCCCACTTGTAAGCTTGTGAAAATTGAGATAAAAAATGAGGAGACATGGGGACTTGGTTGGGGAAAAATCAATGGGGATGATCCATGGAGCAATTGTGGGCACATACCATAGATTCGTGACACATGTCCAAGCACATGTATCCAACACATGATTGAGTAATTGGTTTTTCTTTCCAATTATTTCTCCTAAATTTGATCAAGAACCACATGCGTTAGATGCATGTATATGGACCTGTGTCACAAATCCACAACAGGGTGTCTATGATTGCTCCATGGGGACTGCCCCCACTGAATTTTTTTCTCTTGATGGCGCTACCTCCTAAGTTATACTTTTCACTTCCGAAGGAGGTGTGAATGAGGGCTTGATTCCATGGGGGTCTAAAAGAGATTATATGACTAAGCACCTGCTCAACATTTTAACAAACAAGTTAGTCATTAATCTCTCTTTGCATCATTCCATCCACCAAAATCCATATAAGGACTAGATACGCTTTTACCAAAACAAAAACATGTTATATGGCATATAGCCAAAGGTCATCATAGGATCATGTTCTAAGGAAATAGAGAGGGTATATGCTTGGTTGTGACTGCAGTGGCCTAGTCAAACTTTGGTCATATCCAAAGAGGGTCAATGCCCAAACTTGGCCAAAATAAAAATGTTGATCAAGCGAGAAAACTACACTATGTAGCTTGCAGAATATAAGCATTTGTTAGAACCTTTTAATTGCACTACATCTAGGCATATCTTTTTTAACCATTTGTAGAAGGTAGTAGTAGTGTTAAGGGCATGTTCGAATCTCATACAGCTAGCAATTAGCTGCTAAAAAGTAGGTGAGATTTTATTTGGATTCTCAACTAATAAATCAACTAATATTTTACCTACCACCAAACTAATATTTGGATTCTCAGCTATTTAATTTCAGAAACTGACTTTTTATTGAAGAAGTTGAAACTGAAGTTGACCATTCAAAAAATGAGGAGGGATGGGACTTGATTGAGCTACCTGCTAGGTTATACCACTCACTTCAGAAAAATGAGGTGTGGGGGATCAATTCCATAGGGGGTGATCTAAAAGAGATCACAAGACTAATCACCTGCTCAATATTTTAACAAATAACTTAGTCATTTAATCTCCTTGCATTATTCAATCCCCCAAAATCCTACTTGTAAGCCTCTGAAAAATGAGATTTTGCACCAGATTTTTATATGACCTCACTTGTAAGCTTCTAAAATTGAGATGAAAATAGGGAGGTGTGGGGACTTGATTGGGAAAGAAAATCAATGGGGACGGTCCCATGGAGAAATTGTGGGCAATTACTATGGATTCGCGACATGTGTCCAAGCATATGCATCCAACACATGAAAGAGTATAATTGTTGTTCTTTCCAATTATTCCTTCTATATTTGACTAAGAAGCAATTAAATTCATGCACCTAGACATGTGTCATGAATCCACGACATGTGTCTGTGGTTGCTCCATGGGAATGTCCTCGCTGAATTTTTTCTCTTGATGGTGCTACCTCCTAGGTTAAACCGTTCATTATTTTAAATAAAGTAGGTGTGTGGGGAATCGATTTCATAGGGGGTCTAAAAATGATTATATGACTAATCACCTGCTCAACATTTTAACAAACAAGTTAGTCATTTAATCTCTTTGCATTATTCCATCCACCAAAATCCATATAAGGACTAGATGCACTTTTACATAATGAAAACACGTTATATGGCATATAGCCAAAGCCCATCACAGGATCATATGTTATAAGAAATGCGACCAAATAGTATAATCCTTGGTTGTGACTACAGTGGCCAAGTCAAAATTTGGTCATATCTGAAGATCAGGGGCAATGCCCAAACATGGCAAAAATAAATATACTGATCAAGTGAGAAAACTACACTATGTAGCTTACATTATATAAGCATTTATTAGGGCCTTTTAATGGCACTACATCTAGGCATATCTTTTTTTACCATCTATATAAGGTAGTAGTAGTAGTAGTAGTAGTAGTGTTAATGTCATATTTGAATGTCATACAGCTAGCAATTAGCTACTAGAAATTAGGTGAGATTTTATTTGGATTCTCAGCTAATAAGTTAGCTAATGCATGTTTTACCTACCACCAAACTTAGGGCCTGTGTTTTGATCACAGCTAGATTATTATAATTTGGGTTATGCATAGGATTATTATAATCAAATTATGGATTATAATAATTAAGGTGTTTGGATTCCTGGATTAGGGTGATTTGATATGGTTGGTTAAAGCGAGAAATTCCTATCTTATCCTTTATAGTTTGGCAAGTTGAACAATCAGGTGAGGGCAAGTTGGACTTTTAGCACCCATATAATCACCTATAACCTGGTCTCACCTGGATTATGGGATTATGGTAATCAAGAGGTTTAATTATAATAATTCATCATATAAGTAATCTTGTTTGGATCCAAATCTGATTATGCAATCTGATTATGATAAACGTAGGGCATCCAAACAGGCCCTTATAGTTACCTATTAGTTGGTTTTTCTTGCTGGTACAACTAATAGTTAGTTGGGTGGATCCGGACGGAGCCTAAGAAATACAACCAATTATAATTTAAAATCTCCAACGATAAATGGGCGTGCTAGCTGACAACTAAGTATACCAAAAAAAAAGATACCCAAAAAACCTTATTATAACTAATGCTACAATCTTGGTAGATTTTTAAAAATAGTAAAAGGGAATCTTAGTTTAATTTCAGAAACTGACTTCTGAAACTGAAGTTGACCATTCAAAAAAATCAAAAAAGAAGAAGCTGACTTTGATTTACGTCGACGACAACTTTTGCAGCAGCTGCGATATATATAAAGCGGCGCGCATCATATACTGCAGCATCGTCTGCCCGCCTTCAGAGAAAAAAAACTGAGATAGAGATGTGTGACGGGCACTTGCTTCATCTTGCATAGCTCGCTAGCTCTGGACTCTGCTGGAGTCGAAATTCTTCGACACACGCATTCATGCATGCAGCAGCTAGCTTATATATACTCCGTACAGTGTATATCGATCTTTGCAGGTCGACGACGACGCTCCCAGCTAGCCAGTAGAGAGACGGCATCGATCGTACTGCATGCGTTGCCGGCCGGCCATCCACCAGGCATCGACGACCATGGCCGCCACGGCGCCTGATGTTGCAAGGTCAGTGTTGCGGACGGCGGCCGCGGCCATCGTCCTGCTCGTCGCCGTTGGAGCGTCGACCGTACTGCACCTGGCCGCCGGCGGACGCAGCCCAGCATGGTGTTACAGTAAGCGTCAGCCAACGCCAGGTGCGTGCCCAGCATGTAGGGGTTTAATTTGTTCCTCATTACCGTACCATATTGTTGGGTCGTTGAAATCCGGTAGCTCAGCGTATGGACAACAAGAAGCAACCATATTCCGAGCACAAGTCAATCACAGTAGATTTTTTTTTTTTTTTGAGAATGGGAGTAGGTCCAATATATGCCTCCTTTTTTTGTTTTTTCTGCTATTGCAATCCTCCTGCATCGTAGGGATGTAGAAATATTTTTTCCACGAGTTCTCCATGGTTACCCATGAAATTGTTAAAAAAATATGTATATATATTTCCCAGATACTATAGGATGCCTCAACTCTTTTGTAATTTTCCATGTACTCTTTCTTTCTGTAATATAATTTTTTTGGCCTTCTTAACACTAATAACATGTATACAATTGTTGGTTAGGGGTTGCTCCAAAGTCCAAAGTTTGGCAATTTTAAAATGCAAAATCAATAAGCATGTGTGTTGATGTCTGCACTCAAATTTGCAGGTAATTGTGGACAACGGCATGGTGCAGGTGACGCTATCAACGCCGCAGGGGGGACACATCACCAACGTCCGCTACAACGGCGAGCAAAACCTTCTGTATTACACCGGCGGGGCCAATACTACAGGGTAAATTAGGGATCTGCTATTTAACAGGCACCTGAGATCTCTGTTCTTAACAGGCACCTGCTATTTAACATGAATGTACGATTTGTCTTCACCTTCCTTTAGTCATCCTCTTTCTTGGGTCGACACGTGGCAGTGTCCGCTCCCTCGCCTACCACCCTACTCCAGCCGTACCCAGCAGTGCTACCGCCGCTCCTGCCACGCTAACTAGTGCAATATAAGCCGATGGCGGCTCGCTCTCCGCCTTACTGTTCCACCCTTGCTTGTCACCTCTGCATGTCTTCCCTGAGTCTTTTCTAAGCCCAAAGCACTCTGGAATCCTCAGCAACCCCTCATCCCTAATCCAGGTTGGAGCACAGAGCAAGTCACTTAAGATATTTGAAAATCTCATGCTCCTTTAGTTCAGGAGAAGTGGATAAATTATTGGCGGATACAAGGGAAAGTTAAATATGCCACTAAGGGCATGTGCACCCATTCTCTCCTCCTCTACACCGTTTAAATTGTCTGTCTTCTTATGTGCATCTATCTCCATACACATCCAACGATACAGGAGATGGAAGCACATGCCATTAGGGCGGAACGGCGTTTGTCAACACAAATTAAACTGTAACTAGTAATTTGCATAATCTTCTTTCTAAAAATGTTGTCCATGCATTATTTGGTGTAATTGTTCATATGATATAAATAACTTGATGCAGCAGCCGTGGACTATATATATAATACATATGCATGGTTCATTGGTCTTTGTTTCTGATTATAAATAATCTCCTGCAGGTATTGGGACGTGCTCTGGGACTATCCCGGATCAGGTCGGCCAGGAATGCTCAACATGTGAGTTCACAAATTAAAAGGGAGCTGCTTGCATTGCTTGCTGTGTGTTGGCTGTTGAGCGACTTGAATTGTTTTTGTACAGGTTGGACGGTTCAGAGTTGAGGGTAGTATCCTCAAGCGAAGAGAAAGTGGAGCTTTCTTTCAGGAGCAACTACAATCCGTCGCTCCCAAACAGCGTCAGGCTAAACATCGATAAGAGGTAGTAATTGTTCAGTGCAATCCCCTTTTTGTCGTCCCATCCGAATCCGATCCTATGAGATCTTGAGAACGAAGAACTAGTGAACTCTGTTGCATGCTATCTGTTTCAGGTTTGTGATACTGAAAGGCAGCTCTGGTTTCTACTGCTACGCCATCTTGGAGCACGCCAGCGGCTATCCTTCTCTCACCGTCGACGAGGCTCGGATCACCTTCAAGCTCAACACGGCCATGTCAGTCCCTTGAGCTTCACTCACCAACTACCTCGACCTCGACCTCGACCTCGATCGATCTCTACAGCTGATCGACCTAAAATGGCCGGTATGTATGTATATGTAGGTTCAACTACACGGCGATCTCAGACGATATACAGAGGTACATGCCCAGCATAGAAGACAGAGTTGCGCCACGTTGCGCTCCACTGGCCTACAAGGAGGCCGTCCTGCTGGTGGACCCCGTGGAGCCACAGTTCAAGGGGGAGGTGGACGACAAGTACCAGTACTCCGCTGGACAACAAGGACAGCACCGTCCCTGGCTGGATCAGCGGCGGCCGGACCAACCCGGCCATGGGCTTCTGGGTCATCACACCAAGCACCGAGTTCAAGAGCAGCGGCCCCATGAAGCGGGAGCTCACCTCCCACGTCGGACCCACCTCCATGGCCGTAAGATAATACAAAACATTCTTCTTCTTAGTACCACTACTGCTACAGAACACTCATCACTATCGGTTCCTGACCTATTTTCACTGTCGGTTTCGCGCTTGGGCAATAAACATGGACGATAATAAGGAACTTTATCACCACCAGTTTGAAACCAGTGGTGAAAATCAAATAAAAAACATTTAATATAAAATACAGGGGCTCTCGGCCACTGCCTGCACCCGCATCCGCCACCGCTGGCCAAGGGTGAGGGGGCACATCGGGAGGAAGGCAGGGGGGCACATGTGAGGAAACGGAGGACGACGGTGTGGGAGAGCAGAAGGGAAGGAAAGGGGCATATGGTGGGACAATATGAGAGGTTAGGGAAAAAAATATAAGGCTGAGATAGTTGTGGGTCCCATATAGACTTTTCACCATCAGTTTCAAAAAATTCGGCGGTGAAAATTATTTTGTGAAAAATATTTTATATACTTTAATTCTTCCATTGCAAATATTCAATAGTCTATGACAACGATCAGGGTGTGGATGTGTGCCCTGCTGGCCTGGGGTGAGCCTAAAAGCATCTAACGACGTCTGTTCAGTATTTGCAATATTTCAGTATATGCAATATAGTTCAGGGGTCCCTCTTGATCGGTTTCTGGATCCGCAACTGACGACAACATGTATATAATATGCATTGTCAGGTGTTTCTAGGGACAACAACCGCAGGCCACAAGGTAATATTCATCGACCGCAAAAATCATCAGCCAAACATATGGACAACAACCCTTACGGTAGCAGTATTATGGACAATGACAGCTTAATTATGGACAAAAGAAACTGCATGTTTGTGTTTGCACTTTGCAGGATGGTTGGCAACGTCAGTACACCGACGACACGGCAGATACGGTTCAACCTCGACCACGTCGTGGCAAACGGCACCTACACTCTGCGCATTGCTCTTGCAGCTGCTCAAATGTCCAGACTCACGGTACACATGCATGTTACATATATACAAATCTTAGTTTGTAACCTAATCAGCCACTGATACAATGTACGTGCTCTCGTGTTTGAAATAAGGTGCGCGTCAACGGCAGAGCGATTAGGGAAGCCGTGTTCAGCACGCCGGAGTTCGGCGAGGGCAACGCCATCGCGCGGCACGGCATCCACGGCGGCGTGCAGTGGAGCTTCGAGTTCCCCATCAGGGGCTACCTGCTGCGGCAAGGCGAGAACAGCATCAGCATCACGCAGACGATGGCGTTCGGGCCCTTCTTGGGGGTCATGTACGACTACCTCAGGCTGGAAGGGCCACCGCCGGCATGATCACTCCGGCGACCCCCACGGCGCCACTAGACGAGAACAGTCACACAACATCCTAGCTAGATGGCAATGTAGTCACAACAGGATGTCAGGATGGATTATTCCCGCATCTGTATTCTTCTATTCTAGCAGTAGTAGCAGAACATCAGTAGGAGAAGCCAGTGTACCAGAGTGAAATAAGTTTGGAGGATAACTAGATGTTTCAAAAATTGGACACAAACTAGCCCATCGATCCATGCTCCAAACATAGTTAGATATGGTAATTCAATCCGCGGGTGCTGGTACGCGAGCCAAGTCACCCTGCAGGACTCATATCGAGTCGGAATCTGAAATGAATGAGGGTTATGCACTACTGGAATCTCTCTTTTTCTGTGTGTGCGAAAACCCACGAAAAAATTCGAATACCGTCAGAAAAATATATTTTTCTGACGGTGTACCGTCAGAAAATAACCCACAGAAATAGAATGATAGAAAAATCGACTTTTTCTGTGGGTTCACCGTCAAAAATAATTTTCAAGTCTAGATGTAACGACATGTTTGCCATTTAGGTCTTAAATTTTAGTCGATTTCAAATATAAATGAGTGACTCTGGGTAGATGACTAAATGTGTGATATAGATATAAGAAATTTGGTTTGTTTTCGTTTTTTTTTTGTACTTATTGATATTTGAACACACTTGACGGGTGTCCGAAACTCATGAGCGACCCATGGACAAGGACGAAGGTACAAAATTGCGCCTGTGAGGTGTTGCAATGGCGGATGTGACCAGGGTTTCAAACTATGGTTTACATGTTTCTACCGACCAAAATTCGTGAATTTCGGAAATTCCGGTGCTAAATTTCAGTCAAAGGAAATTAAATCAATTTTGATCAAAGGAAATTAAATCAATTAATTTTATGGTGCTCAAATTAAAAAAAACAAAATTGTTTGAGATTTGATCCTTACACCTCCTGCAAGGCGGTGGAGATGCTTACTTATGAATTTTGATTAACACAAATCCTATTTGCTATTTATATCTAAAATCCATAGTGTCGGTGCGAAAAGTAACCAACAAGTAAATATCTGTAGTTTTGCCGTGCGTTGTGATCGAATGTGGCCTAGCACTCAATGACACAGAATTTATACGGGTTCAGACAACGTGCCCTACGTCCAGTTTCGGTCGGTCGGAGACTTTATTCCTAAGTCCAGGTGCTCGAAGTTTGCTGTGGGGTTACAAACGATTAGGAATAAGAAGGGGGTGTTAAAGGTCCGGTCGGACTCTGAACCAAAGGGCCAAGAGTGACGGGAGCTCTAACGTGCGCTAAGTATTGGAGCGTATGCTCTTTGTAGCTTTAGAGTTCTAGAGCTATTGAGGTCCGAATAATGCGATGACTCTTTAGGAGAGAGCTCATCCCTTTTATAGTCGAAGGGGATGGGCTCTTACAAGTGAGAGAGAGAGAGAGAAATGTATACGTATGCTACCTAGTCTTGTTACCCATGCTATCGGGTACGAGACGGTCGTCGGCGCCCACAATACTGTTTATGTTCAGATGCATGTGGCAGGCTTTAACGTGTTCGCCTGGTAGGGCAAATGTCGGGGCCTACAATACTGTAAGGCAAATGTCGGCGCCCACAATACTGTTTGGGTTCTGACACGCCTGGAAGGTTGCATAGTACCCGTCTGGCATGGCCTGGTGGCACTGCCCTACAGGTGTGCAGGGTATGGCAGGGTACGGTCCTTGGTATTGCGGTTGACTTGATTGCCTTACCTTATCTGCTCCGCTTGATCCTTGGGTCCTCACCGAGCGGGCATCCCCGGTCGGTCGTTCCCAGTTGGCTCCGACCGTGTCGGTCGGGGAAGAATCACGAGGAGAGGTCCGACGCATCCCCGATCGAAAAAAGAGGTCGGAGTCGGACTGTGTCCCCACCTTAGCCAGGCCTTTCGGTCGGGGATCGGGTCGTTGCTCTGGCCACTCATTATGTATCTAGGCTAGCCCAGAAGGTGCGCGTTGTCGCGACGCTGTCTGCTGGGCTGAGTTTTTTTGTAGGGGAGCGGGTCCATTGGGGACCCCGGGTTTATGAACCCGACAAGAGCCCCCAAGCCCTTTTGGGACTTCTGTGAAGTCATGAAGGGGCTATTTATACTCATTTTATGAGAGCACCCGGTGGGTGTAAGATTGTGGGTCGCTGTCGAACAAGACGGAGCGCCAACCCAAGTGTCGGGGCACGGCGGATAGCGGCCGAGGGGTCGGGTGAGGCGGAGTCGCCAACCCAAAGCGTCGGGCACGACCAAGGGGTCGGGCGAGACAGAGTCGCCAACCCAAGTGTCGGGAACGGCCGAGGGGTCGGGTGAGACAGAGTCGCAAACCCAAGTGTCGGGAGCGGCCGAGGGGTCGGGCGAGACGGAGTCACCAACCCAAGTATCGGGCGTGGCCGAGGGGTCGGGCGAGACGGAGTCGCCAACCCAAAGCGTCGGGCGCCGACCCAAGTGTCGGGCGCGGTCGAGGGGTCGGGCGAGACGGAGTCACCAACCCAAGTGTCGAGAACGGCCGAGGGGTCAGGCGAGATGGAGTCGCCAACCCAAGTGTCAGGCGTGGCCGAGGGGTCGAGCGAGACGGAGTCGCCAACCCAAGTGTCGGGCGTGGCCGAGGGGTCGGGCGAGACGGAGTCGCCAACCCAAGTGTCGGGAACGGCTGAGGGGTCGGGCGAGATGGAGTTGCCAACCCAAGTGTCAAGAGTGAGAGAGGGGTTTGGCGAGACGGAGTCACCAACCCAAGTGTCGGGCGCAGCCGAGGGGTCGGGCGAGACAGAGTCGCCAACCCAAAGCGTCGGGCACTGACCCAAGCGTCAGGCGTGGCCGAGGGGTCGGTCTAGTTTCATGTGTTACCCCATCCACGGTTTCCGCAACCAGAGGGGTTGAGCTAACGTCGCTTGCCTGGATGGCTCGAGTGACGCGCTCGGTGAGCTTAATAACGGGTATGCTCGAGTGGAATCCGGGTCTGTCGTTCGTAACAGGGTCGGCATAGCCCTCATGCGGCATTCCACTGCTCCTTAACCCGCCTCCCGGCAGATGCCCAAGCCATTCTAGAGACTGACTTAGGTGGCCCGCTAGCCTCCCCTCTACGAAGATTCTGTGGGCATGGCTTGAGGTTAGGATAGAACGAGAAGGTCGAGATGACCCTGTCTGCTTTGGAGCGGATCGAGCGAGGGCCACTGGGGCTCATCTACGCTTTTCTCCCCTGGCTCTATTTGACGCGAGGTGGCCTTGAGCCCATCGTGGGCCAGCCTTCAAACCCCGGTCAGTCGTCGCTCATATCGAATAAGGCGACTACCGCTTCGTGACGCAACGCAAAGCGTTGTGATGCAACAATTGCGTATGCAATGCTTGGATGTATGTGATGAATGTATGGATGAATGTATGAATGCACGCATGAAAATGGATGAATGAATGATCATGCACTAGAAAACAAAAAGAGGTTTTAGTAAAGTTACCTCGATGTCTCGAGTGACGGGTTTGGGGAGCTCTTTATTGGATATGTCTCGACTGTAGAACTAGCATCCCTCACACATGCGGACGACCTCCTCTGCATCTCGTAGTGTGGTGAGCCAATAAAAACCTTAGTGGAAGGCTTTCCCAACCAGCGACCTCAGGGCCGCGTGGTGTCCACAGATTCTAGCATGGATTTTGAGAAGCAGTTTCCCTTGGTCGGTCGGGATGCACTTCATGAGTATTCCCGACGGGCTCCATTTGTAAAGTTTGTCACCAATGGCGACGAACGTCTTGGCGCGTCAAGCGATTCATCACGCTTCAGTCCTTTTCGATGGGAGAACCTCCTCGAGGAGGTAGGCGAGCAGTGGTGCTCTCTAGTCGACCAGATCGAGTGCCATTATGGCGATGTCGGCGGGCGATGTCGCCATGAAGGCACCCGGGTCGGAGCTGCCAAGCAATTGGTCGGGGTTGGGGCATGTCGGGAGGTCGAAGCCCCCGCATGCCAGATTAGTGTTGGAGTGCGTCTGGATCAAATCCTCTAGGACGTGGGCAGACGGCTCGTGAAATTGTTGATGAAAACCCCATCTGGAGACGGAGCTCGCCTGGCAGCCAATTTTGCGAGAAAATCAGCGGCATCGTTGTCCTTTCGGGGGACATGATGCAGTTCGATCCCTCAGAATTTGTCCTCGAGCTTGCACACCTCCTGGCAGTATGCTGCCAAGAGAGGGCTCTTGTAGGAGGACTCCTTCATGACTTGGTCAATGACCAACTCCGAGTCACCGAGGACATACAGCCTCGTGGCGCCGAGCTTGACGGCGATGCACAGTCCATTGATGAGGGCCTCGTACTCCGTGGCGTTGTTTGAGGCCAAAAAATAGAGACGGATCACGTAGTGGAGCCTGCTCCCATCTGGGGAGTTCAAAACCACTCCAGCCCCTGAGCTAGGCGCCATGACCGACCCATCGAAGTACATCATCCAGTACTTGTGGGTGACGTCTAGGGTCGGGAGCTGGACTTCCGTCCATTCGGTGATGAAGTCGGTGAGAGCCTGAGACTTAATAGCAGTGCGGGGGATATACCTGATGTCGTGGCCCATGAGCTCGAGAGCCCACTTGGAGATTCGACCCGTGGCGTCGCTATTGCAAACGATGTCTCCCAGCGGGTATGAGGTGACGACCATGACTTGGTTGTCGGTGAAGTAGTGCAGGAGCTTCCGGGTTGCCATCAGCACAGCGTATAGAAGCTTCTGAATTTGGGGGTATCAAACCTTGACGTCGGTGAGTACCTCATCGACAAAGTATACTGGTCGTTGGATCTTCTAGGGGTGTCCTGGCTCCTCCCTTTCGATGACTAGGGCAGCGCTCACCATGTGGTTGTTCACCGCGATGTAGAGGAGGGGTTCTCCCCATTCGGGAGCGACGAGGATTGGGGCCGACATCAGTGTTGCTTTGAGACTTTCTAAACCCTACTGTGCCTCCTCTATCCAGACAAATGTGTCTATCTTCTTGAGAAGTTTGTAGAGAGGCATCCCCCG